ACAATATTGTACTCAGTATAAACCCTATAAGACATAAATTAAATGATGTTTTAACCTTTAAAAAGATCTCCATTTCATTATTAAGATACACTGTCACAGAAAAATACATTTATACTACAATTGACACTACGATGCGCATGTGTTTCTAATCTCTATATATCTAATTGTTACTAGTCACAGTCAGTTACTTTCTGAGCTCCTTGGCATCTAAGCATAAACTTTTATGCTTCCTCCTCAAATATAATAGATTTTTAAAAATTTGATTTTTCTCTGTGTGTATATCACACAGACCATCCCATACCATCTTATTCAACTCTACACCCACTTCATAAATGGCACCCTCCCACAGCCTCCCTCCCCCACTAGAGCCCTTATACTCTGATGTCCCTGCTACTGTCTGCTGTGTTGTTGGCACACCCAGCCATTCCCCACTACTTGCCCTTCTGGTGCATCTAATCAGCCTATCTATATGTCTTTGTTTTAGGAGGGTCAGCTGTTCTTCATATAGCAGTAATCAGTTGTCTATAATCCTTTGGGTAAGATTGGGGTCTGCTGTTCAATTTCCCAGTTCTATGCTGAGTTACTATCTGGGAATCCCTTTGGCCACCCTGGCCAACAACTCAAAAGAAGGTATCGCCTGTCTGGCATTGTTGCTTGTTATGTAGCCTTTAGCTATGCATATGGACTCTTATAAAATTATATTGGCCCCTTTAATCTTTGGTTATACATTCCTTTTGGGTGTTTAAGGCCATACAGTTGGTCCAGATAAACCGATTTATTTTTACTCTTAAGGTCATCTGAGGATCTGTTCCTCAGGGGTCACATGGGCTTGGGAGGAGCCCCTGGCTCCTTTCTTTTACCAGTTCTGCCTATGTGAAGTTAAGTCAAAGGTTGACCACGGTTGGCTTCACTTGGAAGCATGCAGGAAATGATTCCTATGAGTTGACCCTCCTCTTTAAAGACTGACACTGGTTGAAGTCCATCTGGTGGGGTCTTTTTGGCCTCCATGATCAAGAGGACAGGTGACCCACCACCATTATAGGACATTTTGAGAGATGCTCATAGTCTCCTGGAACTAGTTGACCTAGGAGGGCAAGGAGCAAAAAGTGTCCTTTATGTCCCTCTGACCAAATTATTATAGACCTCAAAGTATGTCTGTTAAACACCCAAGAAGGTTAGTTCCAACAGTCTGGTATTTTTAATTACTGTGTGTCATGTAGATAAATCTTGGCCAAAGACCAGCTGTTCTCAGATAAACCTTACCCAAACATACATTCCTGGATCTGCTGTGTATAATTTGTCAGTAGGTTGTAGGAGTAATATGGTTCTCTCTACTTTTCAAAACTAGCTAGGCATTGTTTATCTCTCACATTGTCTCACCTCTCCATCATGGTTTTCCCACTTAAGGTGCCCCCCATATCCCCCCTTTCTCACTTATTAATACCCTTCTCCTATGGTCCTACCTTTCTTGATTTCCTTCTTTCCCTTTATCCCCTAGGTTCCTTGTATACCCTTCCCTCTCCCCTCCCTTCAACTAACCAAATTTTTATCCATATCTCCCTTTATTAAGGGCTGTTCCTACTGTTCCCTTTCAGGTTCTTTCTTTTCCTTTACCTCCCTTTTTCCTTTCCCTTATCCTGGTTCCTGTAGTTATGTCTGGTTGCATACTTACTTATCAGAGTCTGGTTCGAGGATCCACATATGAGGGAGAACATATATCGACTTTTTTTCTGAGTCTGTTTTACTTCACTTAGTATAACAGTTTCTAGTTCTATCCAATTACCTGCAAATTTCCTGATTTCATCTTTCTTTACTGCTGAGTAAAACTCCATTGTATAAACGAACCACATTTTCATTATCCACTCATCAATTGAGGGACACTTAGGTTGCTTCCATCTCTTAGCTATTGTGAAAAGAGCAGCAACAAACATGGATGTACATGTGTCTCTGCAATAGGACAAGTTCTTTGGGTATATGTCAAAGAGTAGTATAACTGAGTCAAATTAATTTCTGCCCTGATTTTTGTTATTTCTTCTTGTCTGCTGGGTTTGGGTTTCGTTTGCTGTTGCTTTTCAAGTGTGTTGAGTTGCAATGTTAACACATTGATTTGTGTTCTTTCTGATTTTTTGATGTAGGCACTTATAGCTATAAACTTCCCTGTTAGGACCGCTTTCAGCATGTACCAGAGGTTTTGTTGTGTTTTATTGTCATTTTCATTTAATTCCAGGAATACTTTTATTTCTTTCTTAATTTCTCTTTTGGCCCATTCATCATTCAGGAGTGTGTTTAATCTCCATGTGTTCATGTGGTGATTACAGCTTCTTCCAGTGTTGATTGTAAGCTTTTATTGCATTGTGGACTGATAGGATGGATGGAATTATTTCATTCTTTTTGTACTGGTTGAGGTTTCTTTTGTGCCCTAGTATAAGGTCGATTTTGGAGAAGTTTCCATGGGGTGCTAAGTGGAAGGTATGTCCTTTGGTGCTTGGGTGGAATACTCGATAGATGTCTGTTAAGTCCATTTGATATATGGTATTGTTTAATTCAGATGTCTCTCTGTTAACTCTCTGCCCTGTTGACCTATCTAATGGATACACTGGGGTATTGGAGTCCCCTCCTATTAATGAGTTGGATTTAATCTGGGTCTTAAAGTCCTGTAGTATTGTTTCTATGAAGTTGGGTGCATGAGAGTTTGGTGAATATATGTTCATGATTGTAATATCTTCTTGATTCATTTTTCCTTTGATTAAAATGAAGTGGCCCTCTTTGTTTCTTCTGATTAGTTTTAGTTTAAAGTCTAATTTGTCAAATATTAGAATTTCTACACTTGCTTTTTTCTTAGTACCATTTGCTTGGTATATTTTTTCTATCCTTTTACTTTGAGATAGTGTCTGTCCTTGCAATTGAGATGAATTTCTTGCAGACAACAAAAAGGTGGGTTTTGTTTCTTAATCCATTCACAGAGTCTGTGTCTTTTGACTGGGGAGTTTAGTCCGTTAATATTTAAAGTTATTAATGAAAGATAGGTATTGAATCCTGTCATTTTTTTCTATTTACATTCTTGATATAACTGTACTTTTCCACAGTTACACCGTCATTGGATTTCTTTCTGCAATCCTTTGGATATTGTCATTCCTTTCTTCAGCTCTTTATATTGCTTCCAGAACTCCATGAAGGGCTGATTTTGTGGGCATGAATTCCTTTAGCCTATTTATGTCATGGAAGATTTTTCTTTCCCGTTCGACTTTAATAGACATTTTGGATGGGTAGAGTAATCTGGGGTGGCATCTGTGGTCCTTTAAACCTGGGGATATCTTAGTCCAGGCTCTTCTGGCTTTCATAGTTTGCACTGAAAAGTCAGCTGTAATCCTAATGGGTTTTTCCTTTATATGTGACTTGTTTCTCTTTTGCAGCTTTCAGAATTGTCTCTTTGTTTTGTATGTTTAAGTAGGAGTATGGAGGAAGGGTGGAAAGGTATGTATTATGCTCCATTTTATTAGAGCTGGGAAAAAGATCAGCCCAAGTATGTACAACTGGATGGAACCATTGCTGGGCCCTGCACTCCTGAGACCTACCAGTAGTACTATAAGGGAACAACAGGCTTCCAGAATATTTTGTTACAAAGGACATGATTGGTAAGTTTGGTCTTTTTATTGTGTCACAAATTTCCTGCATATTCCATTCTTGTGATTCTTAAATTTTTCATAATCTTTGCTTGAGTGGTCCAGTTTGTCCACTTTCTCTTCCAGTTTTGATATTCTGTTTTCCATTTCATTCATCCTATTGGTGCGGTGTCTTCAATATTTCTACATCTTTTCTGAATTCATTCAGAAGCTTATCCCTATCTTCCTTCAATTCTTCTT